CCCCCCCCCCCCCCCTGCCCACACTCATCACTCAACCGTCCCGCCGCAGTATGGTTTACCCTTCAAGATAGATGATAAACTCCCCTGACGAGCTGACCGCGGAGGAAGTGTGTCCAGAACAGACAATAAATCATGAAAAGGGAAGTATCCCTTACCAAACGGGCCTCAGTTAGCTTCAGATATGACTGTTGCACAGTTCCAAGCTCAGATTCAGCCCCATCGATTTTTATTTTCACCTCTTTGCCACACCAATTTGAGCACAACTAAATTTCAACAAGATACCCCGCATAAATAGCCAACTTCCTGTTCAGGTTTTTTTTACACATACGCCTACACAAAGTTGCTTTCCTTCTCTATCCTGCAATGTACTGATTTTATGACAAGAGCAGAAATAGAGCTTTGAATCAAGTAGCATGCCTTTGCTTGCTCATCTTAAAAAGAGACATTTTATAATATTTATATATTTCTATGGTATATAATAGTGTTACGTATGTACAAATTGGAAAAAAGAATGGTCATGTAATGGTCTTTTAATTAGTGCCCATCTCATCATTACATGTTCCTTTATGGCACTGCTGGCATTTGGTGATTCACTTGAAAAGAGTCAAAGAGATCTGCTGAGACTGTAAATGATTTTCCATCTCATCCACTGCCACTGGCCACACACTGGCGCGCACAGAAACTTTAAAACAAAACAGGAACGATGAATAGAAACCCCCGACAGGCTCCTCAGAGTGGCTCCAAAGGCTGAAGGACTTCAGGGATTGCAGGTTAGACTTTAGTCAAGTTGTGGACTCGATTATGTTAGCGGCGGATTGAGTTGCACAGAGCTCAAGAGGATGCATATTGAGAATGTTTCATTAAGTGTTCAGACTTCAGACTTTGGGGCCTCTGACATGAGGTTGTCACTGGACTGAAAACTGTCTTCAATCTGCACACCTGCCCTTTGTTTGACAGAAGTGATAATGTTACAATTCTGATGACTATTCCAAAAAACAAATCCTACTTGCATTATCAGCCAGGTAAAGGGATAAAAAGTCTTCATTGCTGTGTTCTAGCAGTTTGCTGATCATGCACCATATCCAACGTCTGCTGATGTTGTGACACCACTAGATTATTTTAATATAATTGAGGACTATGCGACCTTGCAGATGGTCACTTGCTGACAATATTAAAGCAATATAAGGGCTGCTGTAGGATGATGGGAGTCACTTTAGGCTCTGTTGGCAGATAATGTGCGATAATGTAAATTTTCTTTTTCAGAAAATGCTATAACAGATAGGGGACTATGGCAGCAATTATGGATGGCTCCATATTGTAAAAAAGAGATTATAATGTGTATATGTATAGTCCTATGGAGAAACCGACCTTTTTGTTACTGCTTTCGTAGTTTAATTATGCAATGGTTTCCTTCTGTGGCAAGGCTAAAAGAAAAAGTCTGGCTGAACTGCTAAAGCAGTTACTTTACCTCAAACAGAAACAGTATTTAAAGGGTTGAAATATGCTGTTGATAGATGGGACAAAGGCAGCGGGATGAATAGCAATTACAGCTACAGTGTCTGCTTCAATAACTACATATTCTACAGGTAAACAAGTGCATGCTCCGTAATTGTTTGCACTCATATGCTACGTAGTCGTCTCAGCGTTAGGTTGGCAAGGGTGTTGGGGAAGTGGTGTAATATAAATTAACCATGCTATCATGTCGTTTCCAACTAACAATTACTAAGCATTACACAAGTATAACTCGGTTTATTTTCTCATCACATTTAAACTTATTTAGAGACAGTGGCTACTAGAATATTTTGCTGGTTTTTGTATTCATGGATGATGTTTGTGTACCTGATGTGTGGGACATTTTGGGACTTAAATGGAAGTTGCTTACTAGTTAATCCTGTGATCCGGGTCTCACCTGAGCCGCTCTCTTCCAAAGCTTGAAACAAGAAGCAAAGCCCATAATGTGATTAAGACAAATTCTGGAGCTGCACTATCCACACTGAATGATAAGGTAATAATGGACCCAGTGTACACCTTCTAGGCCATTAACAAGAAGGAAGTCCACCTGTTGTCATAGTATAATTGTATATAGTTATTATTTTTTAAAGATGTTTTGTTGTTTTGGGCTTTTTGCCTTTATTGGCTTGGACCAGCAAGAGAGAGAGAGAGAGAGAGAGAGGATGACGACATGCAGTAATTAATCGGATTCAGTACATGGTGTGCGCCCCATTATTTTTTAATATCAGATTATGGTCCTCTGGTCTTTAGCTTTGGGAGAGAATTGTTCATTATGACAAATAATGTTTAAACCAAGATCATAGGTTTACATAGTAGGTGAATTCTCTTAGAGTGGACTTTTTTTTTGGATTGTGATGGAATGTTTTATTGTACGAAATTTGTCTTCAGGAAAATAAAATACTAGGCACTATAACCTGCTGGGTCTCTTTGTCTTTTTAAATGAACGAATGAGAAATGAATGATGGGTATGGATCATAAATATACTGGCAGATCTAAAAGACCCTGAGAAGCACATTATTGCAACCATTTTTGTTGATGAGATAATGTGCTAAATTTGAACTTAGTGAGCGAACATGCACAGCCCCCTGACTTTGTTTGACCTGATCTGTAACACGTGTTTACCCCTGCATGTCAAAATGGCTGCTGTAAAAAAAAAAAAAAAGGTCTATATCATTAATACATCTGAGTGTATTAGTTCCCCAAGGCTATATTCTTGGGCCTCTTCTGTGGGTTTTTAACAAGTAACCTTTCTGTATCACAAGATATTTGGAACAAACTTTGCTATATCAAAAGTTTGTGCATGATTAACATTTATAATTTAAAGGATACAGAGGAACCCCAGGGAGAGGATTTGTGAATTAAGCAAGCTACATATTTGTTTAAGTACTGTACTGTATTACATAGTAGGAGAGGCAAGGTAGAAAAAAAATAAATTAAAGATCTGTGTGTATTTTCTGGCTTACTCCATTGGATGGCAGTCATGGACTAAACCTGCAGCTACAAATCCATCCATTCACTATCACTGCTACCTACAGTAAACAAACAGATGAAACAGATAAATTGTTATTGCACAGTTTTTTATTGGACTCAAGATACAACAGTCTTCTATGATCCCATACGAACTCTAAGCAATACATTTCAACTAAAATATCTTCTACCTTCAGCATCACAGCAGAATATATAGAACATTCTTTGAGTGCTGTGAAACCACAACAAGAACTGGAGTTCAGCTGTTTGGTTTGAGGCTATTGTGTCTCTCCAGAGCCATGACGAGCGTCTTGAGATTATTACTGGAGTTGAATAAGAGCACAGCACAGACTCCCAACAGCTGAGTGAAACAACACGTTAGCATCACAAACAGCTGTCAATCATCTCCTGGCAAAACACAATGAGTTACTGATGGTTGAAGCTGTCAAATAGGGATGAAGACAGTGAGGGCACGCAGTTTCTACCTCGCAGAATGATGATGATGACAATTATATCCAATTGATTAACTGGCCAGTCCATCAAATGGCAGAAAACAGTGACAAATGTCATCATTCCCCAAAACCCAAGGTGGCACGGTGGCTGTTTTGCTCAACTTGCTGTCCCAAAGAGAAAAGCTGCAAATTGTCACATATGACAATCTGTAACTAGTGACTCTTTGGCCTTTTTGCTTGATCAAAGAATAACAATTAACTGTTTATCATAATTGTTCTTTGATTGATCTGTTGATCCACGATTACTCGACCAATTATTTCAGCGCTAATTAAGAGTTTTTAAGAGTTTTCTGGACAAGCAGGAGGCCTTGGAACAAGTTACCTCCAAGTGTTAAAATGTATCTTCTGTACTTTTATATTTGGGACATGGGCAGTTACAGGGTAACTAACACATTTTCTTTTCTGCTCTAACATTTTAACTGATTTTATCTGAATTATAGATGGAAAAAAATGTTCTTGAGACAATTTAGTGGAATAGGTTAAATATGTGTTATTTAAATTAAGTAGCATTTCTCTATTTTGAGAAGAAACAGCTCTATATCTACACTGTACACTGAAATTCCTTAAGAAATTTAGCACAAGAACATTGCAGACATTTCAATAGACTGTGTCAGTTTGAAGTGAAACCTAATTTCAACTACTGAAACAGGAAAAACTCTTTTTTTTTAACACTTTTAATTAATTTTGTTTTTTAAAAACTTAATTTAAACACGTAAACGGGATCTTAATTTTCTGTGTTCCCATGAAATAAGGTTCATGAGTCTGTCAATAAATCAATACTGAAATAAAAAGAAAATCTTCATGCTAAAATATTTTAAGACACTACTGCAATGGAATTAATAACAGAGTGCCACTCTCTCATTACAGCCTTCATAATCCACTAAACAAACAGAAAATATGCATTCATTCTGTTACAATATTTCACAAGTAGGCTTACATTGTGTATTTTTTTTAAATATCAAAAACACCACAAAACTAGTCTCTGTCAGACATTCATTATTGTAAAACTATGTAAATTATTTAACATTTACAAACAGTAAAAAGTATTGTCAGGTAGACAATTATAATAATTATACAGCCATTTGAAAAAAAGACAAAAAGATTGCCCAGATCCCTTTGGTGGAACATTTAGTCTTGAATTCATAATATTTTCTGAATGTGTCCACATTGCTGATTTTCATACGAGGACAGAGGAGCAGCAGGTACATATGAAGACAGAATATGCAGCCTTATTTGCCTTAAAACACGCACCGATACAGTATACGTATGTGTGAGTATATAATGTGCTGCTGCTGTCCTGATTGGAGTGTGTGAAAATGTTCTACCAAAGGGAAATAATCTCATAAAATGTACAAGAAACAATACAAACATCGATTGTCGTACCTAAACGTGAAAGTATTACAACTCACCTGCACTCAAAGTCATCAAACTCTGTGACACTCATAGAAGTACATTATATATTAGATTTCATAGTAATAAGACCTCTAAAAATACTGTAACACTAGGTTAATCTCTTACGTACATTAGGATGTACCAATACTTGCTTATAAGCAGTGAGGCAAAATCGTCAAAATATTGTCACAATAATGTGCATTTTCATATCAGTGTTTCTATTCTAAAAGTCTCCTGACACATACATGGTGTCCTTTACTGAAGGACTAAAGTACCTCACCGTCTGTTCAGATGTTCTTCGCTGTAATTCAGTGCCGCCTGCTACATTTGAATGCATGTAAATATTTCCACACTAATGGTAAAGTCAGCTAGGGTGTACATTCAGAACATACTACGGTATTCAAACCTAAAGCCAATGGACAATATTAATCTGATAAGAGTTTTTTTTTTTTTTTGACATGGCAGATTAAAGTACCATATTTTAACATCTCCGAGAAAAGACGTTTTAACCTTTCAACGTAAAGCTGTTAATATAGTTGAGATGGCAACTAAAACCAGGGAAACATGTGAAATATATATTAATATACATATAAATTCCTTGAATCCTTCAGGTATCTTAATTCATTTGCTTCCTTAAATGAACATAAAATGCATTTCACCACAGCCTATGGGTTCCAGCCTCTTGACACACACCCTGGTCCTGTACTGTATGTATACTGTATGTATGTTTAATTTCCCCTTCTTTAAATCACAACTGCAGCTGTCTGCAACCTGTGCATATAATGCTCAAACTGTTTGAGTAGTGTTGCAAGAAACTATTGAACACTCCTCACCAGCAGAAACTGTTGGGGAACGATATGTGGATACAGCAGCAGAGGAGATGCAGGCTAATAAATGTACTCATAAATAACTTTTGTTTGCTGTGTTGTTGATGAAATCAACTAGCTAGTTATCCTGTAATTCATTTTCTTGGCAGCAGCAGCTTTGAGAACATTTAAAAATATAAATAAATAAATAAAACAGTATACTTGGATGATAAGAGCTGCAGTGACAGGAAGCAACAGTCCCTGAAAGGATGAGACCCTTGTGTCATTATGACTTTAATTTATGCTCACTGCATGGGATATTAACAGCTAATATGATGTGCATGATCTACATTTGTGAACATGTAAAAGGGTGTATGTATGCTTTTAGACAATACAATTAAACTGAGCCTGTAATATTGCTGTAAATCCAAGCTTCTAAAGGCTTATTGCTTTAATGAAACAGTGATTCATTATTTATTCAAAAAAATAATCATCACGCAGAAGCAGTTTAGATTTGTAGTGTGCTAGCCGGTTGGCTGGAAAGCAAACTTGGCAAAGTTTTAGCGGGAAGTGACATCTCTCAAAATTGAAGCTTTTAGCAAAGACTGTAGAAAAGGCCACGAGATTCATTTGTGATATATTAAAGTATAAAACAAACATGTTGTTATGGGGTGGAAGTTTTTAGTGGTGAAAACCCCTAGCGCAGTTACAGTAGCCTATATCATTCTCGTCTAAATTATGAAAGTGTGCAACAATATAGCTAATGAGGATCATAAAAGTGTGATTTCTAAATAACGTTTTGATTACTGACATCACTTCCTGTTCCTTATTGTTTAGGCTTCCATCTGCCATGTCATTACATTTTTCGGTAAGTCACCTAATTTGATACTTAAAAGACTGCTTCCAAACACTGCACTGTACGAAAAAGGAGCAAAAATTGTGCTACTGTTAAAAGACTTCAGAGTGTATTTGTGTAGTTGCATGTGTACAGTATCACCCTAGTGAATCCTACAGAGGTGCACAGAAACTCTCACAAGGAACACAACAACGCTGTCACTCTTTGTATTTTTTTTGGCTTTAGGAAAGAGGACGTGTGATAGAAAGGTAGGTACTGAGCATGTTGTCAGGGTTGACCTTTGACCTTAAGGCCTCACATCTGCCCGAAGAAGATGGAGCAGAGCAGGAAGATGGCATAGAGAAACAGCAGACCCAGACCCAGCCGGCGATCCAGCCTCCAGTGGTTCAGATGAACACTCATAACCTGAAAGCAGAGAGACAGTGTGAAAGAGTCAGCTGGGCACATTTTTTTTGTTTTTTTTCCAAATACAAATTTTAATGTCTGGGCAGTATGAGACACTGAGATATTATTATTATTTTTTATACTTAATACGTATCCCTTAAACTGCCATTACATTCACATATTATAAAGTTATGGAGACTGTGCTAGCAAACAGTTACCTATTAAAAGGTCCAATGTGTAACATTTAGGAGGATCTATGGTCAGAAATGGAATATAATATTTATAGGTATGTTTTCATTAGTGTCATAATAGTTGTGAGAGAACAGTTACTCTTCTAAGGAAGTACCATGTTTCTACAGTAGCCCAGAATGGACAAATCAAACACAACACCACAGCACCCGGTACCTCCAACTGCCGCTGATTAAGACTGCTTAACTTAACCTGCTATGCACAACTTCTTTGCACAAACTTTACCTTGCAATAATTGAACATGTAC